AAAGTCAGAATTTTTTTTTCTTAAATTTAATTAAATTTCAAAACATAAATCATCGTATCTTCGTTAAAAAGTAATAGATTTGCTTGCAATTTAGTATACACATTAATTTAGACCTACTAAAGCCAACAAAATGTTAAAAAAGTTTTTAAAAAAATTTTGTTTAATTATTTTTAATTGTAAATTAATGATAGATCGTCCAACGCCCTTCCGGCAGGACGAAAAAGACTCAGGTGAGTCCCTCCGAAATCACTAAAGAAAACTAACATGGATTCAGATAAATAAAAAATGATATATATCATTGGAAAGGTAACGAAACAAGCTTTCAGCGCATATAAATTTCGAGCTTGTAAGTTCAAAACTAAGGGCCGGGTAGTTTGAAGAAGTTCAGTTTTCCAAAAATTCACATAATTTTTAGTCACAGAATGACGAAGCCCGGTCCTGCCGGCAGGACGCTTTTCGCTTTATTTAAGAGATTACTTAGCCCAGGTTTATAAATTTAAAGACTCGATATTTACATCATTTGAAAGCTTGTTTCATTACCTTTCCAACGATATATTTATTTTTATATTTATCTGCTTCCATATTAATTTTATAGAGCAATTTCGAAAGGACTCGCGCCTGAGTCTATACTCGGATATACTGAACAATATTAAAAATGATTTTTTTTAATTAAACAATTAGGTTTCATTGTTTGAACGTTTCTGAAGAGAAAGAGACTTGTCCGGTCAAAAAATATTGATTTTTGGGGATTTTACATTAAATTTACGAAAAAATGTTTTTTTCACTGTTTAAAAACATAGCAAGTTTGAAGGCTTTGGAAAATGGTTTAAATTATTATTTTAAAAAGTCAAAAATATGTATTTTTTCGTCTTTTCGTCTACCTTAATCCCAAAGAGTGCCAGAAAAGAAAAGTTGAATTCCCTTTTTATAAAAGCCTTTTTTTCGGAACGTCCTTCCGACAGGATGGGCGCTTGGACGATTTATCATTAAGATTGGTCGATAACCACGCTATGTTATTTTTGGCAATAAAAAGTCTGCAGGGAATTTCAAAATTGAAAGAACTTCTCGTGAAAGATTTGTTCATTACTGTTTCAAGAAGTTTTCTGGAAATTTTCAAATCGATTCGTTGAAAACTTTTCGAAAAATTTAAATTTTAAGAAAAACGGGTGACACGTCGCACCCTTTCTATAAAAGGTAATTGACGGAAACGTAAACGCTTAAATAAATAAAATCTTTTTTGATCTAAGTGTATTAAGACATTGTTATTTTATTATAAAATGAGAGCACAAATTTACTTATAACATTTGTTAATAATATTTTTAACATTATTGACGATTAATAAGCAATTTTTACATATTTTTAAATGTATATATTTTTTCTTTTTAAACGCATGTGTTCACATTCTTTTAAGAATATTATTTGTTTTTTTTAGTCTTTTTAATTTTATTTGTTATTAATATTTATAATTCAAATTTAATACATTATAAATATTTTAAAAACGCATAACATTTTCAGTCTTCAAAATAAAATGTAGTTAGAACATTTAAAATTTTTAACTATATGTGTTTAAAACACATCTATAGTATTTATACTTAGTCTTTATCTTTTTTTAATTTGACTCCTACTTGCTTTAAATATTTTTTAAAGTACTCTTGAGATTCGACGGATACATAGCCTAATAGGGATTGTAAATCAGCTTTTTTTTCTTTTGTTATTCCAACCTTTTTAGCAAGACGGCTTTTTTGTAAATTATCAAAAGTTACTGATTTTTTAATGAAATAAGTAACTGGCTTACTTGTATAATTTTTATAAACGTTGACGTTACCGTTTGGGAAATAATCAATTTTGACGACTTTACTTATTTGAAGCTCTTTTGGAATTATATATTTATTTTGAATTTTGCTCTCGAAATCTTTAACAACATAATCTTCCTTTTGCACAATAATGAAAGGATGTTTCTTCGCATTTCTTATTAAATTTATGTATTCGTGTTCTGTTTCAATAACTTCTATCATTTTTTTTTCTGTGCACAAATACCAAAATTTTGATCGCATTGGCAAAAGAAATGACCGCGAACTGGGTACAAATGTTGTATCTGAATCTGCAATTTTTCAGACAGTAAAGATAAAAAAAACATCATATTATAATTTTTATTTTGCCCGCCGCATGCATCCGAAAATAACATTATTCTATTATAACATTTTTTTTTTAATTCTTCTAAAATCACATGAAGCAAAAAATTAAACACTGTATTCCCTCCTTTCTTTAAAAAGCCTTCCATAAAAAAAACATGTAACTCGGTGAAATTTCTTTATCTCGATGTACATGAACATTAAATATGTGAAGCCAAATTAGTCGAGAATAAAACTGCGCGGACACCGGAAGTTTCGGTAGGGGAAGGTTTTGGCCAAAATCGAATTCCAAACATAAATCTTGTTTATAGTTAGTTAACATAATTTTTTTTAATTTCGTGTGTTCCGCAACACTTCGTTTATGATTTTCGATTTCCTCATTGCCTTCATTCCCTGACTTTTCACTCTCAAAGCATACGTTACAACAATCAGTTCGTGGTACATGGAAAGTAAAATTAACAGAATGATTGAAGTACTTTTGGTACGTCGATTCAGAGAGAGGTGAACTCATAACTCCGGTTTTTAGTTTGTAATAATCAATAAATTTTTTATACAAAATTTTTAAAGTTAAACTACTATCTTGAAAATAATTTAAATTTGAATTAGTATAGTGTGATTTCGAATGTGGAAGACTTTTACAGTGCTCAAGAATTAAATTTTTCATTTCCTCTGATAATTTTACAAAATGATTTGATTTTCCACGTTCATCTTTTAAACTAAGATTTTTCTTTATTTTGTTCTGTAAAAATCTCAGTCTACCTCTTTTAATACCTATTATATTTAATAAAAACTTTTCGCAAATGATAGTCTGCTCATCAGTTTTACATTGAGAAGAAAAAAGATAAATCCATTTGCAAATTTTTAGCGTATTATCAGATTCAGGATTTTTTTTTTAAAAGAGAACTTAGTAAAACATTCTGCGAAGTATATTCCCCAAGTTCCCAAAACGCGTTGAATAATTTTTCCTGACATTGTCTGCCAATAGTTTCAAAACATTTGTTTTTACAGCAGGAAGTAGGACCTTCAAATATTTTCCGGCAAACTGTCTTTCTGCTATGCAATGAAACATATTCTTTTCCCTGTAGAATTTAACATTAACTTAATTTATAATATTTTTAATATTTTATAAATATGTAAAAACAATAAATAATTTAATTAAAAAATAAAATATAAAATTATATATTGTATCCCATAAATATTTTACTTAAAATTTTAAAATTATTGTCCATACCTCATTTCTGAACTTTTTTGCTACATTGCGTTTCCAAATATTATCATTTCTTTTTCTTTTACGCCCAAATGAAATATTATCACTCATTTTTTTAAAAAACTGAACACACTTTTCTTGAAATAAAATACATTCGATTTGTACTAATGTACAAAATATACTAATATTACGAATTCAATCTAACTTGCCTTCGTATTTCACTAATTTCATATTATTTAAAGACAAATAATTTGTCATTATTTATAATCACTAACTATGTTTGTCAACAAAGCAGTTATTCACTAAAGACTTATTTGGAACTCACAGTAAACTAATAAATAACCGTATAATACCTTCTAGAAATAAATTTTCAAATACAGATATTATAAAAATATTTATAATATAAATATTTTTAAATATTCAATATTTTATAATAACAAATACAATTATTAAGATTGAAAATATGCGTTTCATAAGATTCATAAAGTATTAAAAATTGTTAATTTTAATAACATACGAAATTATATACAGACTAAAAATATATTTTATTTATTTAAGCGTTTACGTTTCCTTCAATTACCTTTTATAGAAACGGTGCGATGTGCCACCCGTTTTTCTTAAAATTTAAATTTTTCGAAAAGTTTTTAACGAATCGATTTGAAAATTTCCAGAAAACTTCTTGAAACAGAAATTTAACAAATCTCTCACGAGAAGTTCTTTCAATTTTGAAATTCCCTGCAGACTTTTTATTGCCAAAAATAACATAGCGTGGTTATCGACCAATCTTAATTTACAATTAAAAATAATTAAACAAAATTTTTTTAAAAACTTTTTTAACATTTTGTTGGCTTTAGTAGGTTTAAATTAATGTGTATACTAAATTGAAAGCAAATCTATTACTTTTTAACGAAGATACGATGATTTATGTTTTGAAATTTAATTAAATTTAAGAAAAGAAAATTCTGACTTTTTTTTATTTTATTTTTAGAAATATGCAATTTAGAACAAAACTTCTGAGAAAAAAAGATGCGTTTTTTTATCATCTACAAAATAGTACATTAAAAAAAATTAAATTTCAAGTTTTAATTTTTTGACATTTTTCACGAGCTGGCTGGCTTGAAAAAGACTGCTCGAGCGTAGCGGTTGTTATTGTATGCAGCCCCGCAATTATTGTCTGACAAACAGGAACATTATGTATTTTGTATTTGGATACTTTATTTTAATATATTCTCTGCCTTTTAATATCTTATTAATTTTACCTAGATTCCCCTTTAATTGCTGTTTCTTGCTTTTTGATAATATTAATTTTGCAAATTTATATAGCTTTTTGCATGTTAATATATTTTATAAAAACAGAGCATTATCTTTAAAAAAATCCTATAATACTATCAAGAGTTGTATATTTATTTCTTACGAATAAGTCACTTTAAATATGAGTAATTTGTACTTTCATTCAAGTTAATTTAAAACTGCCTAACAAAGTAAATTATTAAATTTCTTATATTAATTGTAAAATTACACATTCCAAAATTTTTTTTATTGTGGAAATGTTTCAACTGTGTTATATTCTTCAATTTTCGACGAACTGAATAATTATTAATAAATACAAACTTGTTAACTTTTTTTATTTATCATTCTAAATACAATTATTTTATGAATAGGAGGAAAAACTTTTCCTGCTAGATCATTTCCACCTGATGGTACAACTTTTGCTCAAATAAGAATTGGGCAGCGACTTAACAAGCAGATTTCAGCCTACAGTTACTGGAATATGCAGTTTTACCAATCAGAAGCAGCGTACGTTCGTTTCGACTACAATATTCCACGTGGTGCTAGTATAGGTGTTTACGCGAGAAGAAATGCCCTACCAACACATACGCAATATGATCTTTTAGAAGTGTTGAGTGGATTCAAAGCTCGTACTACTCGAGCATCTCATGTGAGTATAAAAGAGGAAGATATAATTTCTAAAGTTAAATTGCGAAAAATATTTAGAAAATTTACTAAATTGCTTTCTGCTTCTCAGTATTTTGTTATTAAAAAGTAGGTATTATATTTTTCAACAAAAACTTTTTGTATGCTTCAAATTTTATTTAATTGATTATGAAATGATAATGATCACAGGAAATCTTTGTAAGTTGTTCTATCGTTTATTCTTTAATATTTGAAATTCACGTATTGTTATTGCTGAGCATATAAGACTACATTCAAAAATGTATGAATGTTTGAATGCTAACTGAGAATATTTCAAAACAATTATTACCTATTATTCACTAATTGCTCTATGTGAACATACACTGAGCTTATTTATAGATACTGCTGAAATACAAAAACCACCAACACAGCACCGAAGATTTCCTGAAACTCGACAGGACCTCGTTTACCGAGGTTAAAAACATTGAGTGACGATGTTCATGGGAGATTGTGTGGATGTTCAAATGTCCACATAAACAGAATATTAAATATCAGCCTTCAGCAAAAATTTAACTCCAAATATTGACTCGCGATGTTCAGTCAATATTCGGACAATATTGGTTTATACGTGTATAATTATCAAACAAAATTTTTATAACTATCCCGGCAAGAAGGCTGGAATCGATTGGAATTAAAAAAATGAATTACATTTAATAGGGGAGACTAGGTGCGGTTGTTATGCTGTGCAGTTGTTACAAATGGAATATCTCAGAAACAGTTAGTTATAGAGATGGGGTTCCAAAGAGAAAAATGTTTAGTTTTTATGTACGAACTTACTGCAATATGTTTAAAAATTATATGCAAGCTTTACAAGTAAAAAAATTGGCACATTGGTTTTTAAAGGCCAAAAGTAAATATTTCTCTGCCTGATATTTTTTAAATAATTAATAGACCTTTATACTTAACAAAGTAAATTTTTTAATATCAATTCTATGAGGATTAAGCTTTAAAAAACTGCCTTGGTTGTCCACATTTAGTGCATACTTTTTTAATAAAGTGTTTTATTGTAAAAAATGTACCTGTTGTGCAGTTGGTACAAGTGATAATGAGAACGGATATTTTTTCCAAAATTCATCAGATTCGTTTGAAATGTAAAATATTTGTCAAAAATGTAATCACACTCATTTTTTATGAAAAATCTCATGGTTTTTCTAAATTCGTCTTTAAAATTAATGAAAAAAAACTTTTTTAAGTTTCTTTCATTTCGAAACAATATTAATGCTGCCATCTCTATGGAACTGTCACGTACTATTACGTTGAGTCAAAAATTATGAATAATTAATAAAAGTTGTTATAAGAAATTATTTGTCTTCAATTTAGAAATGTTATAGATGATTCTTGGTATTGTAACAACCGACATTCACTATGTGCAGTTATTACAATTTACACGCTGTCACTCAAATGCTTGTAGTTAATTAAATAATCCCTATTGAAAATCCCCATATGGGAAACCACATGGGAAACCACATGGGATCCTATGTCAAAAACCATGTAAAACCCTACTTCCATGAAGGAAACCACGTGGTTTACCATGTGGTTTCCCATGTCAAACCATATGGGAAATTGAGACAGGATTTTAGTTAGGAATAGACATGGGGAATTTGAACAGTTCATCTATGCATAAAACCATATCAAATCCCACATGTTTTTCCCATGTCAAATCCTAAACCAAATCCCATGTGAAAAACATTATCATTTATTTATAATTATTTTCCCAAGTCAATCCCCAAGTGAAAAACAGTATCATTTATTTATAATGATTTTCCCATGTCAAATCCTAAACCAAATCCCATGTGAAAAACATTATCCGCCTTATTGAATATCCCTACATGGGAATCCACTTGGAATTTTACAAGGGATTTCACATAGGATTTTATATGGGAATTGACATAGGATTTCATGCAAGATTTCACCTAGGATTTAATGAGACATCACATAGTATTTTATTAAAGATCCAATGAAGAAATTTTCAAAGGATTAAAAATTATTTAATAAAAAATTAAATAATATATAGTATTAGTGTTACAAGTCATCAAAAAAGTAAAAAAACGATAATTTGAAACACGTCCTCTCTGCTACAGGTTCTCAGCTTTTATATACTTCCAGAATCGTCTCAACAGCGAGAGAAGTCACTTTCGCCACCTAGCGGTGAAAGTATAGGAGCGACAGTAATCTTTAACATTACTAAGGAAACCATGTGGAATACCACGTAGGATTCCATGTGGTTTCCTACGTGGGGATTTACATGGGATTTTACTTAGGAATTTAAGTAGAAATAAATTCCCAAATAAATTCCTAAGTAAAATCCCATGTAAATCCCCACGTAGGAAACCACATGGAATCCTACGTGGTATTCCACATGGTTTCCTTAGTAATGTTAAAGATTACTGTCGCTCCTATACTTTCACCGCTAGGTGGCGAAAGTGACTTCTCTCGCTGTTGAGACGATTCTGGAAGTATATAAAAGCTGAGAACCTGTAGCAGAGAGGACGTGTTTCAAATTATCGTTTTTTACTTTTTTGATGACTTGTAACACTAATACTATATATTATTTAATTTTTTATTAAATAATTTTTAATCCTTTGAAAATTTCTTCATTGGATCTTTAATAAAATACTATGTGATGTCTCATTAAATCCTAGGTGAAATCTTGCATGAAATCCTATGTCAATTCCCATATAAAATCCTATGTGAAATCCCTTGTAAAATTCCAAGTGGATTCCCATGTAGGGATATTCAATAAGGCGGATAATGTTTTTCACATGGGATTTGGTTTAGGATTTGACATGGGAAAATAATTATAAATAAATGATACTGTTTTTCACTTGGGGATTGACTTGGGAAAATAATTATAAATAAATGATACTGTTTTTCACATGGGATTCGGTTTAGGATTTGACTGGGAAAAACATGTGGGATTTGATATGGTTTTATGCATGGATGAACTGTTCAAATTCCCCATGTCTATTCCTAACTAAAATCCTGTCTCAATTTCCCATATGGTTTGACATGGGAAACCACATGGTAAACCACGTGGTTTCCTTCATGGAAGTAGGGTTTTACATGGTTTTTGACATAGGATCCCATGTGGTTTCCCATATGGTTTCCCATATGGGGATTTTCAATAGGGATAGATATAGAGCTAAATCAATTATTGCCTTTTATAACTAGATAATATACCTTTGATTTAATCGTTTGACCAAACAAATTGGAGTTAAACTCTAATCACAGTAACTGTTTTTATCAAAATTGTAACAACTGCACCTAGTCTCCTCTACCTGATTTTTCCCATATTTCGTAAGTCTACGTAAGGAATATCTTTAACAGCCAAGTTAAATAACTTTTTATTCCGTTTAAGCAAAACGTGAAACGGAATTAAATATGGAATCAAAACTTTTATGAATTGAATATGAATAATAATTATAATTCTTTTTCAATAAATATTTTTATTATTATTTTTATGTGGACATTTGAACATCCACACAATCTCCCATGAACATCGCGACTCAATGTTTCTAGCCTCGCTGAATGAGGTCCTGTCGAGTTTCAGGAAATCTTCGGTGCAGTGTGGGCAAATACCTTTTGGGCAAAAAACAATATCCGCTCCAAAAACGTTCTTAATACGTTTTTAGAACGTTTCATGTCCGCCAAATAATGTTCCAAAACATTTTAAGAATATGGATGTCAAAATAATATTCTAGAACATTATGTGGCAGACATGAAACATGGTTTTTTCCCAGAGGGTATTCGTTTTCGAAATCTAAAGGATTAAATAATTTAACAACTATCAAGGATTCACTCTATTCCATTTATTATTTTGTTATTCTAAAAATTAATTTACTATTAAAAGCCCTCGATGAAGAAAGAAGTAACACATTACATGGAACCTGGCCATTGGTTCCTTTCATTATACAATGACGACGGAGATCCACAAGAAGTATCCTTTATAGCTGTGATAGCTGAAGATATGACACATAATTGTCCCAATGGTTGCAGCGGTAAAGGAGAATGCTTATTAGGGCATTGTCAATGTAATCCTGGATTTGGCGGAGATGATTGTAGTGAGAGTGTTTGTCCTGTTCTCTGCAGCCAACGGGGTGAATATATCAATGGCGAATGTCAGTGCAATCCTGGTTGGAAGGGAAAGGAATGTTCTCTACGTCATGACGAATGTGAAGTTCCTGACTGCAATGGACATGGTCATTGTATAAATGGAAAATGTAATTGTGTGAGAGGATATAAAGGAAAATTTTGTGAAACAATAGATTGTCCTCATCCAACTTGTTCAGGACATGGCTTTTGCGCTGATGGATCTTGTATATGTAAGAAAGGCTGGAAAGGTCCTGCGTGTAGCCAAATGGACAAGGAAGCATTACAATGTTTGCCAGATTGCAGCGGACATGGCACTTTTGATTTGGAAACACAGACTTGTCTTTGTGAACCAAATTATTCTGGAGACGACTGCTCAAAAGGTATAAATAATTAAATTTTACAATAAATTTTGTTTCTCTTAAAATGCGACGTGATAAACAGTTTAAATATAGCTTAAATGAGAGCTTAAACCTTCAACTTGAACTTATAGAAATATAAATATCTGTAGCAATAACTCAAAATTGTCGAGAACAAATTTTTACCGCGTGCTCATATTCTGGGGGTCAATACGAGTGCAACTAACTGCTTATACATTTCATTGGGCAACAATCTTCTTGCATTTCCTATCCCTTTTTGTCGTGATTGAAAGCTCGTATGCAATTTGCCTACTTGAGTCGCAACGGCACATGTAGGTTGGTAGGAAAGGGGTTGTCATATACCCAGTAAAAAAAATTCGATACACGGACCGCGGAGTTCGTATACGAGCTCGGTAGCTCGTATGAGAAATATGAGAAAACTCTCATACGAGCCTTTTCCGTAATGAGAAGTGTATAGATGCTTGTATACGAGGTGACTTTTAAAGCATTTTTCTTAATATAACACTATTTTAAAGTAAATGTAGATAATAGAAATGAATTTTCAAAGTAAAACAAAGCTAAATTTATAAAGGAAATGAAGTTTTAAGAAAAAAAGAATAATTTTGTTCAAAAAATTTATTCACACTGAAAAAAGGTTAGAATTTGATAATTCCTTGTTACTCTAACTTACCGACATTAGATATTTCTCAGATGCGGTAAGCACGATTTTGTATTGCGGTAGAATAAATAAGTTTTTTTCATTACTAATTAATAATATATTATTATTTATTTATTATATATATGTTCTTATATAAAATAATTAAATTTAATACAAAATCTGCTTATCGTATACGAGAAATATCTAATGTCGGTTAGTTAGAGTAACAAGGAATTATCAAATTCTAACCTTTTTTCAGTGTGAATAAATTTTTTGAATAAAATTATCCTTTTTTTCTTAAAACTTCATTTCCCTTATAAATTTAGCTTTGTTTTACTTTAAAAATTCATTTCTATTATCTACATTTACTTTAAAATAGTGTTATATTAAGAAAAATGCTTTAAAAGTCACCTCGTATACAAGTATCTATACACTTCTCATTACGGAAAAGGCTCGTATGAGAGTTTTCTCATATTTCTCATACGAGCTACCGAGCTCGTATACGAATTCCGGGGCCCGTGTATCGAATTTTTTTTTACTGGGTACCTTGTCGCTGTTGGTCAGGCAGTAACTTGACTCTGCTAGGATCATAAGCGAGTCGGGCTGGTGGACCTGTGAGGAAAAATTTTTCAAGTGTACCAATGTCAAAATTGCAAGTTGTTGGATAAGGCTAATATTTTCACAGTATTTAGTACTATGTATGAGTACTTCAACCACCAAGTATTATGAAATTTTATAAAAAATTGTAGAGGGGGGAGGGGGTTGAAGATTTTGGATAAGTATACCCTACTAAAAATAAAATTAGGAATGGTCAGACAAATGGCCAGGCCGCCTGACCACTTTAATCCAGTTTTCTTACGATTCTGGATGGATCTCGTCAGAAATCTATCACAACTGATCAGGAGGAAGTTTAAAGTGGTCACAAGTTTGCTACTATCCCCTCCTCTTTGTTGACCCCGCCCATAATTGGTGACTATTTGAGACCATTTGTATCTCATTTTTGACCATATTTTTAAGCCACTTCTGTTTTATTTATTTAAACAATATGCAAAAAGTTGCAACAAATTAATTTTAAAAAATATATTTTATTAATTAATATCAGTTTGTTTACATACGGAACAACTTGAAACTAATTCCCGGAATTAAATTAAAATTTGGACCCTACGGGGATCGAACCCCGACGCATGATCTAACCTAGTGCCTAAACTAACTGCCCTAACGACTGCGACTACCGAACCGACTTACATATTTCTGGATTCAACTGTCTATATAAAGAACGGTAAAATAGTAAAATTCAATTACCAATATTATCAATAAATCAGAATAAACTGTTAAATAATTTTTATTAATTAATTATATTTCAATTTAGTCATAATAGGTTATGTGAATTAATAAAAATTAACATTATTAATTGAATCAATAATAAATTAAGTCTTAACTTTACAATTTGGAATGTTTTATAAACTATAATACGAATACAGATTAATAATAATTATTATTATATCTGCATTTAAAATGAATTTAGTATTTAATATTAATTTAATTTAACATTATAATTTATAATAATAATGAATTATTAATGCAATATTGAAATTTTTATAAATTTTAAATTTAAATTATTAATAATCATTATAGTAAGAAATTATTCTATTAATGATTAATAATAATTTAAATATAACTGTATTTCAATTATAATGCAAATACTTCTCATAATAAGTACTGACTGGTATAGCAAATTACTAATATTATGAAACAAAATTTATTATTAATTAACTATATTAAATAATTACAAGTAAATATACATATATTAAATTAATATATTATAAATATATACATTAAATAAATATATTAAATAATGTTAAAAGAATGCGCCGAATGTTTTGATTTATTTACCTACTTTTGCTGTATAATTAATTCAATAATTATACCAATTTGAAAAATGAGAACTTTTGTTAAGTTAAAAGAACAATTTTTATAATAGAATAATGTATTCTGAAATGTAAAAAATAAATTTGAAAGATTTTATATGTATATATAAATTTTCATGAGACTTTACCAAAATTAGAAAGATGTACCAAAATTTTTATAGGTTATGTGTTCACACATTTCAGAAATAGTCAAGAATTTCAGAAATTGTCAGGAATTTCAGAAATGGTCACAGCTTCGAAAATGGTGGGAGTAAAGTGGGAGGAGCTTGGAAAGTATTTAGTTAGGAATGGTGAGAAACGTTCGAAAACGTCAGTAGTGGTGAGACTGTTCAGGAATGTTCAGAAATTCTGACCATTCATGACGATTCCTGATTTTATTTTTAGTAGGGTACTCTCTAAATCTGAATAAGTGAAATTTCACTTATTTTAAGTAAATATTCACTTATTCCATGTTTCAAAACTCTTCCACGTAGAATAAGTGAATATTCACACATGAAATAAGTGAATTATATTCACTTATGAAATAAGTGAATTATATTCACTTATTAATAAGTAAATTATATTCACTTATTCACGGTGTTGGAGGTCGAGAACTGTCCAGTGTTGCCAACCAATATGAGCACGGAAAAAAATTTCTTATAGAAAACACAAACTTTTTCGTAAAATATACAAATAGGTTAAGTTGTGCTTTATGCAGGCGAGTTTTGTGTTTCCAACAAGCTGGTTTGTGTGTACCACAAACCAATCTGTTATAACACCAAGAAATCCACGCATGCGCAAGAAAATTCAAGTGAACGTCTGGTTGTCGTCTGCTGCGTGACTGTTTAAGCTGTTGAATCATAAACTGAAGTTTGTGACAAGACTCATTCTGGTTTGTGTATTTCCCATACTCAGCCGTTTGTGGATACTACAACCGCCGTTCATAGATGGCACAGGAAATCTTGTAATTTTCACAGGAAATTTTTTTCCGTGAGACATTCCACGTCAACACGGACAGAGCTACAAACATAAATTGCTTTGATGGATTTAAACGTTCTAGGGCTTAGAAGATTTCTACATTTATGTACTTAAAGATGCCGATAGGAGTTTTTAAAAAAATTCCATTTCTGATACCAATAGAGCTGTCAAAAGTCAAAAGGTCCAAAAATCACAAAATACTTTTATGAATTAAAAGCAAAAAACGAGGTAAATTATTCTGTAAATCATTCTTTAACAGTTTTTAGGGTCCCCGATTATAAATCTAAAGTTTTTATTTAAAGAAATCAAAAATGTCGGATCCAATACAGCGGACGAAATTCAAATTTTATCAGATTCGATTCAAACTTGTTACTCGGGGGTTTTTAGGGTCGCTGATTATTTACGAATCTGAAGTCACTTTTTAAAAATTCAAAATGGCGGATCCAATATGGCAGAAAAAATTTTCAAATTTGATCCGATTCCCTTAAAACGTGTTACTCGGAGGCTTATGGGGCCACAGATTACGAATATAAAGTCACTTTTTAGAAATTAAAAATGTCGGATCCAATATAGTGGTCAAATTTTTAAATTTGATCAGATTTAATTAAAACGTGTTACTCGGGGGTTTTTAGGATATCTGATTGCAAATCTGAAATCACAATTTAAAAATTTTAAATAGCGGATCCCATATGACTGAAAAAAATGTTCAAATTTGATACAATTCGCTTAAAGCTTGTAATAATAACAAATCGTTTACATTATAGAACAGTATGAAGCTAGAATTTCTTAAAAGTGACTTCGTAATAAGATACGCTAAAAACCCCCGAGAAACAAGTTTTAATTAAATCTTATCAAATTTAAAAATTTGTCCACCATTTTTAATTTCTACAAAGTAACTTCATATTCGTAATCTGTGGCCTCATGAGCCTCCGAGTAACACGTTTTAAGGGAATCGAATCAAATTTAAAAAAATTTTCCGCCATTTTGAATTTTTAAAAAGTGACTTCAGATTCGTAATCAGCGACCCTAGAAACCCCCCGAGTAACAAGTTTGAATCGAATCTGATCAAATTTGAATTTTGGCCGCCATATTGGATACGCCATTTTGTATTTTAAAAAAAAACTTTAGATTTATAATCAGGGGCCCTAAAAACTGTTAAAGAATGAGTTACAGAATAATTTACCTCGTTTTTACCTTTAAATTCATAAAAGTATTTGGAGATTTTTGGACCTTTTGACTTTTGACAGCTCTATTGGCATCGGAAATGGAATTTTTCAAAAATCGCCCATCGGCATCTTAAAGTACATAAATTTACAAATTTTTTAAGCCCTAGAACGTTTAAATCCATTAATGCAATTTTTGTTTGGAGCTCTGTCCGTGTTGACATGGAATGTCCATAATTTATAAATATTAATTAACAAATGAATATCATTTATGAAAATAAAGATAAAGTGGTAGTTTTTTTAAGCACTCTGTCCGTT